ATATTTTCACTATATATATATATATATATATATATATATTTTATCAGTGAGAACAATACAATATGAAAACTCAAATTTATTTTATTACCAAAAAAATATTAAAATTTATTTTTTCCTTAATTACAGTTCTTAAGATCCGGATTATTTTTTCATTTTTACGGAATTGACTAGAATCTGAAAGGTAATTTTAAAATATATACACCAAAAGAATTACTAAGTTGGTCTAATATTATTATGTATAGAAGTTTGTACTTAAACTTTACTATCGTATTTGTACTTTCGATAAATATAAAGATATACCTGTCAAACAAAATTGAAATTAAAAGATTTGTTCAAATTTGATGACTCATCAAGCTCACTAGCCAGTTCCAAGTATTCACATGAATTAACATGAACAAAATTATTTCTGTATAATTGATGATCTCAAATTTGGGTACGAAGTATAAAACTATGTTAAATACTCCAAAATAAAACTTTTTTTTTTTTTTCAATATAATCTCACAAGATATAAACACGGTTGCCTCATGGGCCACTTGCGAATTGCGAAATTAGTGACACTCCAAAATATTCTTGTAATATTGAGATTCAAATTATTCATCAAAATACAGGGGATGGATGAGATCATTTAAAGTTTAAACCATTGTTGAACCACCCAAGATTATTGAGAGTTTCTTCTTGACACCTTGCTCTCAATTTGAAATTTTGAGGAGCATACACAACTGAGAAATTCTGAAAGGAGACATACATAGCGAAAAACAAAAAACAAAACATTATGAAACAGAAAGTGAAAAGAAAAATCGAGAAAGCCGATGATTTGGCATGACAGATGAAATTATGGTAGAGAGAAGAGAGAGAGAAAGGCATTGATGATGATTGTCACATAGAACAGAGGGTTTAGGGAAATTAAAGAGAGTCAGCAAACCCTGTTGTAATCGCCACAACGGTTGTTAGGGCCACCTCCGTTTTGGGAGGGCAAGCAGCCACGGTAGTTTTGGGAGGTTGGGCAGTTAACAGCTTTGTTGTTCCTATTCCCCGTTTGCCCATTCACCGATTGACTCACGTCGTACAGCATCCTGGCCACGTGCGAACCAAACCAGAACTCTGACTCCATCTCCATCTCCATGTGGTTGCCGATGAGGCAATCCTCTGTGACGCACTTGTTGCTGTTGGCGTTGACCATCATAAGCTTGTCGTGGATCATCACAAGGACCAGAAACGCCAACAAGAGACCCTTCTTCATTTCTTTCTTTTTGGGAACTCTTTTCTCTTCTCTCGAAGAAACAAAGGACTTGTGGTGTAGTGGTGAAGCCTCTTGTCTTTTTGTAATAGCTGGGTTGCACTCAAATAATTGAGGAATCTTCTTTAGTTCAACAACAAACAACTTGAGAGTGAAATTAAGGTATAATGTACCTTTCTAACTGCAGTTATATATATAT